GGGCAAGCCACCTCTGGGCCTGTCTTCCCGTTTGCACAACAGATGGGGCCACAGGCCTTCCCAGCTGGAGTTTGCTCTGTGCTCCCTCAGCCCACTGACCTGTGTGGACCGCTGCCTGGGTTTGAATCGGTCCCTCTGTCTATAAATTCCCTTTCCAGATTCAAAATCCCACCCACCTGCACAAGGCCTGTTAGAGGTCACGACACCTGTCCATTCCCAGACCAACCATTTATCCTTGTGTGTCGCACATGCCAATGCCATTCAGTTCCTTGGTCATCTCACATAGCTCATCAGGTGCTGTTCTCGGTGGAGGTGGGCAGTGAGCTGGAGGAGCAGTCCCCTCCCCCCGTGGAGCTTAGGGTTAGTCCTAGAGGGGAGCGGATCTGAAGTGTCACTAGGTGATAGAGTTACGGAGCCAACACTGGGAAGGAGCCACAGAATTCTGAGGTGGGCGGGAGTGATTAGGAGAGGTCTCATGGAGAAGGTGACAGTTTGTCTGCAGTGGGTGTGTTGGGGCTAGCGTGACTCCTGTGTGGTTCTCGTGAAGATTCCTTCCATGTCAGAATGTCTTTGTGGGCACAGGTTTTTATCCATCTCTGCATGCCTTAGCGCAAGGCCTTCAAGACCAGGCACTCAAGGAGCGACTGGTGAATGAGGAGATACACTAGTCTGAGCTGAAATATTCTGGGGTGGATGATGTCATTGGCAAAGGCATGTGCTGTGTCCCAGAGGAACCTTGTAGAGGGCTTTGCCTTTGCACCCCAAAGGTGCTCAGTGAATGTTGGGTTGGCGGCAGGCCTGTTGGGGAGTCCAGGCTGCCGTGCTTCAGGAGGATCATCAGCTGTTAGAACAGCCTCCGTGTGGGCCTGTTCTCCCCACCTGCACCAGCTGCCCATGTTTTGGTCTCCCACGCTGCACGAGGCGGTGCTGCAGCAGGGTTGGTGTGGTCAGACCACTGGGTCAGCTAGACACAGATATAATACTGCTGAGTCCAAATTAGATACAGACTCATGGGCCTCACCCCAGACCTACCAACCAGGGGGCCTGCAGTTTTAACAAGATTACCCCTGGGAGATTCTGGGTGGGATAGACTTGTGATGTAACCAGTGGTTTTTAGTCCTGAGTGTGCATTGTAATCCCCTGGGGGCTTTAAAAAAACTACCAGTGCCTGGATCCCACTTCTGGAAAATGCATTCCAGCCCATTTTTAGCTGGATGTGTATTCTTAATTTGTGTGAGCTCTAGACACGCTGGCGTAAGGGTTATATCTCACGGCGGGTGCACAGTCAGGGCCCTGCTTAGGTGCAGTGGCAGGCCTGGCAGCCGAGAGCAGACCTGGGAAAACCTTTTCCCTCTGCCTGCCAGGCACTGCTGTGTGGCCTCGGAAGCAAGCTAAGGATGGGCTCCCTGTGGAGCAGGGGCCAGATGGGTGTGTGAATACCCTTGGGCTGGAAGCTGATATGCTGTTTATGTGTTTTTTGAGCATCAGTGGCCCTGCCAGTGTTGGTCTGGAGGGCCTGGTAACGCTGCTTAGCCCCTGTCTGTGGGCGGCTATGGCTTTGGGGCAGTGGGATTAGGGGGCTTGACCTGTTCAGACCAGACAGTCCCTGGGTGCAGAGGGGCCCTCCTGGTGTCCGACCGGACGTAAAGGGAACACATCTGTGGTGTCTCCTTGCTACTTCCGGAGGGGATACAAGGTCAGATACAGCCGAGGAGTGAGTGTGAAGGAATTATCCAAAAGTAGGTGGACAATAGGAAAGGACAAACAGAATGAGAGTGCACATTTTAAAGGGAGTTTTAAGGATGGAGGGAATGGATAGGCAATGTTTGAAGAGGTAATGACCGGAGATTTTCCAGAATTGACTGACTCATCCTTAGAATCTGGAACCCTGAACAAATCCCAGGTCAGATCAATGAAAGTTCGTACCTAGACTCATGAGTGAAACTGCAGAACATACAGACACTGAAGTTTACAGGAATGAAAGGAATGTTCCCTACAAAGGAACAATCAAACTAAGTAAATTTCAACAGCCACAGAAGCCACAAGAATCATGTCTTAAATGCTGTAATTATTGGGCTAAACTATTATTCAGAAGTAAGATAAATACGTGTTTAGATTTTGCCGTTCACATCCCCTAACTGAAACGATTTCTAAAGAATATACTTTACGGCCGGGCGCGGTGGCTCACGCCTGTAATCCTAGCTCTCTGGGAGGCCGAGGCGGGCGGATTGTTTCAGCTCAGGAGTTCGAAACCAGCCTGAGCAAGAGCGAGACCTCGTCTCTACTAAAAATAGAAAGAAATTAATCAGACAACTAAAAATATATAGAAAAAATTAGCCGGGCATGGTGGCGCATGCCTGTAGTCCCAGCTACTCGGGAGGCTGAGGCAGGAGGATCGCTTGATCCCAGGAGTTTGAGGTTGCTGTGAGCTAGGATGATGCCACGGCACTCTAGCCTGGGCAACACAGTGAGACCCTGTCTCAAAAAAAAAAAAAAAAGAATATACTTTACGAAGTAAAGGATTAAGCCAAAAGAAAGGATGATGAGGACAGAAACAGGCCCTCAGTGAATCATCTAAGCATTGATACAACCAAATGGAAGCCGGGTGTGGTGGCGCTCACCTATAGTCCCAGCCACTTGGGAGGCTGAAGTGGGAGGATGGCTTGAGGCCAGGAGCTTGATACTAGCCTGGGCAACAAGTCAAGACCCTGTCTCTGCAAAAAGGTGTTTAAAAATTAGCTGGGCATGGTGGCTCATGCCTGGAGTCCCAGCTACTCTGGGAGGCTGAGGCAGAGGGATCACTTGAGCCTACGAGTTGGACATTGTAGTAAGCTGTGATCACACTGCTGTACTCCAGCCTGGGTGACAGAATGAGGCCCTGTCTCTAAAGGGAAAAAAAAGCATGGAATGAGATGACCTGCTTATCAAAATCATAAGCATAATAAACATAAACAGACTAGCCAGTTAAAAGAAACTTCAGGTTCAATTGGAAGAATGCTAGCTAGAAGCTACATACCTAACAATGTAAAAGGATGGATAAAGAGGAGGGGAAAACCTATGCTTTATAAACAGTGGCATTATAAGAAAAAAGGACATTAAAGCAAAAAGACTTACTAGAAATAAAAGTTACTGATCTAAAGAACAAGCGATCCTCTGGGAAGATACAGGGTAGTAACTT